TCACATTTACTTTTTGTTTAATATGATAAATACATGATATTATACATGTACCCGAATGCTTTTTTTGCAAAATTTATATTTTTTGTTTTTGTATTTTTATATTTTATTTTTATTATTTATTTATGACATTAAATGTTAAAACATTTAACGCAAAAGTTAAACTATTTATTATTATTTTTTGTATTTCATTTTTGGTTAATTCTAAATTATGCATTTCATTTTCATTATCAATAAAAATAATTCTTATTTATTACACTTATTTTTAATTTAATTAATAAAAATATCATAAATATAACTACTTTTTTCTACATTTTTTTTTGTAAATTTCCATATTTATTTCTATTTTAAAAATTTTAGTACCTAACTATGACTTCATAGGTTGATCAAATTTAATTCGGATGGTTGAATAGCTTAGCCACCACCTGGATAAAAAATAATTAGTGAAAAATAACTTTATTAGCATATATCTAATTAGTAACATTTATTAGTGAAAAAATAACTTGAAAAATATAGGATTTAATAAGAGAAAATGGGATTTAATAACTTAAGTATAAGACTTAATGAGAGGGGATTAAATGATGTGGAAAGTAATAATTAAAGTTACACTTTCAACCCCTACAATAATTAAAGATGGATTAAATATACATATGGCCATTATGGTAGCCATTAAAGTTGTTATTAAAACTATAATAAAATTACTTTTATAGCCTTTTTCAAACAAATAAATGAAGGGTACTTTTAGTTAAAAAAAAGTTTCACATTGCATTTAGTAGGATAAATTGACTAGCTCTATCCCTATTATTTCTGACAATTGACTAGCTCTATCCCTGTAGTTAGCATCTATTGGTATTCCGTCAAATTATTTTAAAATCCAATGTTACCCTCGTCCCCTCCTCTCGAGGCCACTGAGGGATTTTGGTTGTTGCTTTGGCTCCCCTACACCGGGGATGGCGTTGGTGCCGGACACTTGTACTGGTGCCGCTAGACCTGTTCATGGGCCAGGTGGCCCGACGGGCCGGCTCGGCCCCCGAACGGGCTTGAACATGGTTATAGGCCTGCGGGCTTAAACTCAGGCCAAAAAGCTCGGACCGCAATAAATTCGAGCAGGGCTCGGGTTTTGTCAAAATAGCCCCGCCCGACCTAAACCTAGACCTAAAAAACCCTAATCGAATAGCCCCATCTTTTTATTATCTCTTTGCCTCTTTCCCTCTTCTTTTTCCAACCAAACCCTTCTTCTCCAACCTCCACACTCCACAGTGAGGCGGCAAACGTTCACCGGCGCAATAACTCCGGCAACGATGGTGAGTTTTCTCTCTCTCTCTCTCTCTCTCTCTGATGCGAAGTTGCAAATCAATGAGGGATCTCTATCAAAGTGCGACGGTGAGTTCTCTCTCTCTCTCTCAGATGCGAAGTTGCGAACTGATGAGGGATCTCTGTCAAAGTGCGACGGTGAATTCTCTCTCTCTCTCAGATGCGAAGTTGCGAACTGATGAGGGATCTCTGTCAAAGTGCGATGGTGAATTTTCTCTCTCTCTCTGCGAAATTTATTAGGTCAGGCTTCGGGCTTTTTATCAGGCCCGGGCTCGGGCCCAAGTTATAGGCCCGTAGGTCGGGCCGGGCTCGGGCTCGGGCCTAGTATATTTTCATTAATGGGGACTAAAAGCCCGGCCCGGCCCGGCCAATGAACAAGTCTAGGTGCCGCTGTTCAGTGCAAATCAATTAGAAAACGGTGGTGTCTCCGGGCTCTGTTCGACTGTAATTCATGTCGTTGAACAGGGCTGAGAATCACCGGTCTCGTGGTGGCAGGAAAGCAAATGGTGAAAAATCAATCACCGAAAAATGCTACCAATGACATCGGTCATCTCCGTATCATAACTCCATCGTATGCGAGCCACGATACACATTTCCCCATTTCCATCTCTAAGTCCCTGTAATTCCCTTTACCAATTTCATTAAATGATGATATTGCCCTTCGCCATTTTCGTCATCGACATCTCGCCTAGTACCCAGAAACGGTGAGAACACCTTCTCAGTTAACCTTTGACTGTAGATATATTAGTTTCCCACGTTGCAGAAGACCAGTATGGCCTAATGGGAAGGGAGGGAGGAAAGTTTTCAATAAAGCATTGACTTCCCACGTTGTCTCTAGATATATTGAGTTTTGTGTCAGTAGCAAAGTTTTCAATAAAGCATTAAATCCTTTCAGGTTTTCCTGTAACATTTGGAAGGCAGCGAACGTGAAGATGATGTTGGTGGGTTTCATAAAGGCCTGTATTCTGATTTCTTGTTCTGCTTTCCTTTCATTTAGAAGAGATCGAGACAAATGGATCTGGGTTTCATAGAGCAGAGAGGAGAGGAGAGGATGTTGGAGGACAAAGCTTTGATAGAAAGACACAGAGATGCAGATGCAGATACAGGCCAAGAATTCTGCTTCCCCTCTATGACGATTTTGACTGCAAATCCATTGCGGCCCACATAAAATAGGATTTCTACACGACTTATGGATCTGGGTTGTTTCTTCACTCATTCTCAGGGGGCTTTCATTTATTTTGCCCCTGAGACCCTCAAATTCCTCATTTTCAAAGGCGTTTCTTCAGCTCCCACTCTCTCTGCAAACTAAGTCCGCTGTTGCGAAGCAGGTACTATCAGCCACTGTAACTCCTCTACCAGTTTCCCCGTTCTTCTTTGTCTATCCTTTTACAATCACACCCACCCTTGTTGGAGGAAAATAGAGGATATATTTCCAACTGCTTTTTCCACGGCGATCTTGGCGTGAACGGTGTCCAGTGGGCAGTTGGGGGTAACGTAGGGGGATATGGAGTAAGAGCAAAACGAAGAGAGAGAGAGGGGGGACCTGGCCGGAGGTGGAAAAAGAGGGAAAGAGGAGAGAGAAATCGGGGTAGGGACCTGACCGGAGGTGGAGAGGGTCAATGCCAGCTTGCCGCCGCTGTGCCGAGTGTTGGAAGAGAAGATGAACAGTGTTTTTCGAGATGGAGGGATAATATTAGGTTTTAAAAGAATTTTAAACAACACGTGAGATCACGTGTATATAGGTTTTGACAGAATTAGTCAATTTTCAAGCAATAAAAACATATTTAGTCAATTAACTAAACCGTAAGACTAATTTAAAAAATTTACCCTATATAATATAGATATAAATTACTGATCAAAAGCACTTAAGAATTCGCAGCATTGAGGGGAGCTGGGCTGGTGGTGTTTAGGTCAACACTCAATACGGTTCAAGTCAACATAGAAAATTGGAAACATCTTGACGAAACTATCCAAGGAAGAGTCTGTACAAAGTTGAAAAACCAATGTAATAATCCACATGTTATTGTTTTTAGTTTTGGTTTCTAGTTAATGAAACGTTTTTTGTTTCAGTTTTAAGAATTAAAAAAAAAATAATACATATATAACCAAAGGCACGTTTCTGTATTTTTGTTTTGGGTTCAATTATGATGTCAAAAAGATATAATATTAATACCGAAAAAGTTTGTAACCAATATCATAAAAATGGTAATCAATCAGGTGTAAAATTTCTCTTCTTACGACCCATTTGGTTTCCGTATAAGTATCTGTATAACCACCGACTCTGGGAGAGCTTATTCATCATCCATCCTAGAAAAGCTTGACTTATTTGGAAAAAAAGAGCCCGAGTTGCTTTGAAGCTTCGTGCGCGTGATCATGTTGGGTTACTACAGCCCCACTTAAAACTTATCCCCATATCCATTCGGGGCCAGGAGGCAGGAGGGACCCTTGCTTTGTTGTTTATTACTTTATTCTATTCGACCGAAGTGTCATTTTCTTACGATCCAACCGATCAAAATGCTTTTTCACCCAGTCCACCTGTTAGTTAGTTATAGGATCGGGGAAAAAACACTTGGTTTGGTGGTTAGAACTTGGAACAAGCTTGGATTTATTGATGAGTCATTGCACGACTAGTACTACTTCAACTTGAAGCGTCACATCACTGATCACTCTCCCACTGGCCTCCCAACTGATCCAAAGTGGTGTATAGACACCGCGGACCGCGGTGGTTTAGTGGGCCGTTGGCGAAGCCGCGAAGGCTCTGTCTAAAGTGTAATGGAAGACACGGCAGCTGCTCTGCCCCAGTCCCCAGATCATCCCCACGATGTCAGCGAGCGAGTGGTGGAACTTGGAAGTTGGAACGAGAGCGTGCAGTTTGAGAGAAACTTCCAAATGGGTGGTAGGTTCCACTCATTCGGGACCAGGCACCACACCTTGGACAAGGGACCGAAGATGTCCAGAATAGGTTCCTGGCCATGGTGGCCTATATATATTTTGCTTTTTCTCACAACAAATGTCCATGGAGACGACATATTCTCTCCCTTTGTCATATTCTGTTTCCGTATGAAAATCAATGGAGATGTAGATAAAAGAGGCAGACTAGCAGAGCACGAGTCTCAGATTAACATGTTCCTGGAAAAAGAAGAAAAAAGTATAGCCGGACAAGGCTCATGATATCATGGTTGATGATAATGACACGCACAATTTTTCTGTAAACCACCACCACTTCCTTTCTTGGATTCAAACTCAATTACTCAAAAGAAGCCATCATTATAACGGTTCTAGGCTGCTGCTGCTGCTTTATGCCCTGCAACGGTTTTTTCAGTCTTTCATCATTCTACCTTTAGATATTTTATTCTGTAAAATCATAGCCGGAACAATGTGAGAAACGCTTGAACAGAACAGATGGTATATCGTGTGGCATTCTTGTGCAAAGTTCCATGAAGTCATTTACAATACAACCACCTTGAAACATGGTACAATTTGTAATAGACGCTAACAATAACAGTAATAAAATGCTTAGACCATTAGCATGAGCGGTTGATCAAAGCATTTGAAAGTTGAAACGTTCAATTTGTAATAGATGACTCAATAAACACATTCATCATAGGTGGTCTGGAACAAATATTTATCAATATAATTGTCAAGATTTCTCAATGAATGCATTTTCTCATGCCAGGCTTACAGACTGATGACATGAATGGCATGCATGAAGCCTTCCTTTAACTGGATTAGTGATGCAGCAAGTATACGGTCAAGCACACAACACAGGCAACAAATTTACATCAGTTTGGGCACTCGATCGAGTTGGTTACATTTTTCACTGTTACAAAACAAAACGCTTCTCATTACATAATACAGAAAAACAAATATTACATTGTACAAACTGCAGGCAGCCTTTCTATCTTCCTCTCTCCTGCTTAATCTTTTTCGTTTGTACAGAATGGGAAAAAAAGGAAAAAGAAAGAAAAAAAAAATCAAGGCTTTCATTCTGAAAAACCAGCTTTGATGAACGCACACTAGTTACAACAATTGTATTTCCCTTCACGTGAAGATTATCTAACATTAATCAACACATGCAATCATTTAACCAGTTCCTTGGAAATGAGATACCGGAATGAAAAATTATGGGGGATCCATTCAATGCTCTTGTGGGATCTTACTTGCTGGCACCTCTGCTTGGCCTTTCTTAAGGTTTCAGGAATACACTGTTGCACCATCTCCAACACACCAACTGCAGACAAGCTAGAATCCTTTGCAAAAGACTCTACAATCTTTGGTAGAAGGATTTTCTGTTGATTGCGTACACCAAAGGTAGCACGGATGTACTCTTCTTTTGCAATTTCCAGCTCCTGGAACACTCTCTTTGGTGTGTATATGCGGACCTGAAGAAGTGCAAAGGGAGTTTAATTAGCCAATTGGAATATCTTGTACAAATTCCCCTATGACCAAGTACCACCAAAACTAAGCAAAGATTGTTTTGATCAGAGATATGGAAGAATTCTTGTTTGGCTAGGTACTTGGTACTTAATTAAATGGAAGATTGATTTTCTTTCTGATAAAAAGATGGATTTTCATCTGGATATTGAATCAAGTAAATGCGATCAGTTGTTCATGTTGGATAAACTAGAGACTGGATAGAAATATTTTGGGTGGATTATCTTCTGTAACATGCCAAGAACCAGTAGGCATGTATAAAATTCAAAGATATCCCAAACTCATTTTTGCAGAGACTCTATTGGGAAGAAAAGCACTGTCCAAACAAAAACAATCATCCACATATAATTATATTTCATACTAGAATATAAACGAATGGCAGACAGATTATGGACAAAGGCATACCGTAGGATCAGAATGGCTTCCTGAACAAAGTGCAAAATGTAATAGTGGTTCTGGATGCTCAATTGCATATGCTTGTCGATCATCCCCAGCCTTGAATTTCCTTTTTGTTGAGAATAGCAAACGAAGCCACTACAAACAGAAGTAAACTTTATTAGCCCCTGTACAAACATATAGTTAGGGATGAAACTTGAAACTCCAATGAACACAAGAAAGAGAAAACTTAATCAATTAGAAGGAAGAAATTATAATCAAGAAGGAAAAAAGAGTATATAAAATTAAAGTGCTCATTACACATTAAGAACGAAGGTTCGAAGTATTCAAAGGTAAATGCAAGTCATGAGATCCACCTGCCCGGGCCGAGGCATTCGACATCCCAGAATAGAACTCTGTATCGTGTCAACGCTAATAGTGTGACCCCCGACATTGTATGCAGACTGGATTGTATAAGAGTGTATTAGAAGAGGATGAGAAAAGAATTTCATTCCAAGAAGAATATCAATGAGGCCCTACTCACTCACCTTAAGGAGTAAAGACACTCTTTTCAGATTATTTTGTGGAATCCCATAAGCCAAAAATGCCTGTAGAACAAAAAAAAATATACAATGTGTGACCATCCAGTCACAGCATAAGTAGAACAAAAAAGGAGGGCTGATTAGGGCACATCCCTTGTGAAAATATCAAAGGTATTTCTATTAAAGTACAACAGGTGCATAGGGGTTGCCTATCTTTCCAGAAACATAACTTGTGGTATATTCACTAGGGGTATGCCTCCTTTACCAAAAAATGGGATGTGCCCTAATCATAACTCCTAAAAAATCATAAGTATTTAAAAAAAAAAAAGTAAAAACCATTACATGCATCACCAATGCATTATGTATGTTAATCCAGAATGCAAGCCTCTCCTCATGCTTCATTTTTCTAGGATCAACTTCTTCCAATCGACAAACAAGTGACCTGCATGACAACATTTCACCTTTCAAGCTTTACAACAATTGAGAAAAATATTTGTACGAGAATACCATCATCAGGAGTCAGGACATTTCCCATTGAAAATGCTTTTATTTTTATTTAGACTGGATGGTTGGGATTAAATCAGCTTAACTGAGTTGGCTTTGTCATGTCCTAGATGAGACATTTGTCCAACTCTTGAGTAAGTAATTCAGATGAACAAATACATAGCTTCATTTGAATTATACATTCATGTAGCATCATAATATACGTGATGCTACATGATATGGGCATTGCTAATGGTAGAATGTCTGACTTTGCCAAGAAATGCCACACTCAAGGAGTAGTGCTAATTGTTCAATCCTGAAATTGGATTTAAATCCTTGACAGATGTTTAGAGGTAGGATTCCAAAAAGAAGTTGCATATCTATCAAACAGAAGGGAATAAAGAAATAAACCGTTTATTGTTTAGAATAAACGGAAAGAACAACAGATCATTAGTTGACTTCATAAGAATAAAGAGAAGCACAATTAGTTAACATCAAAAGCAATCAGATGGAAAAAATCTCACCTAAAATTTTGTAGCATGTGTTCAATATCCCTCAGCTTCTGATTATCTCTGCAAATCCAAGGCACTTCTACCATTGTACTGTAAGGACCACTGAACTCTTTCAACCCTTCAACATTGAAGGGGTTATCTAGACATGCATCAAAAGAAAAATCTTTCCTGCACCGGGGGCTCCACATATCACACTGGTTGTGTGGAGAAAATGCACTTACAGATGACAATGATGAAAGAGGAGAAGATGAAAGGCCATTCTGCATCTGCAAAGGTTCTGCAAGCTTACAATATATAGTTGACATGCACTTTATCATATCTTCAGAAATCCTGTTTGGTGTCTCAGGAATATGATCAGTGATACGTGTACCCAGATGTTCAGCCAGACTGATTACATTAGAAGTGGTGTTCTCTGCAAGCTGTAGACAAGACAAAGGAACTAATACTTAAGTAGGAAAAAAGAAATAATCATTCAGAGAATTAAAAAAAAAAAGATAATCAAGAGAATTAGGTTACCTCCATCATAGACAAAGGTTGGGAATGGCATGCTCGTATGGCTTTAGCTACAGCATCCATTGGAGGAGAAGTTCTACAAGCTGTACGTTGTGATAGTGAGGAATGGCTACGGTGAATGCCTGAATCTAATAACTTCTCAGTATCCCCAATAGCGTTGAATTCCTTGTGTGGATGAGCAAGTGGATCCAGAGTAAATGGCAAATGACCAGATTGACCCAGTGAATTTTCTCTATCAGATGTTATATCAGGTCCATTAGATTCCAGAAACATCCCTTTCTTTGTGAACAAAGGTGATTTTAACTTCTCATCCATGGTAGATGGAGATAAGGCAGAAATTTGCTGGTCAAATGCTTTACGATATAACGAGAGAAGATACTGTTCCAAATACACAACTTCCAACTCTAATACTGCAATCTCCTTGATCAGTTCTTTTGCAGACTGGTTCAAACAAAAATAGCACTTATTAGTTGGTAGAAGCAAGAAAGTTTGATTTAAAACGTAACCACAAAGTAGTAATAAAAAAACCAAGGACAACTAAAAATGCATTTATAAGCACCAAATTTATTTTGCAAACTCCAAATACATTATACTGTCAGAAAATGACCATGTTTAAAATGGTAAGATTACAAATCCACACAATGATATTCCTGTTAGCCCCATGAAATGATCAAGACACCGTTCTTGAATAGTTTACAATGCTACACATTACTAGCAAATAGTACGATTTGCTCACAAAGAGCATTAAAAATCCACATCTATTCCAGTAAATTAAGACAGGAAAGAACTACCTTGGGCATTGAGTTCTCATTTGAGATGTCATTGGAAGAGGTCCTATAGCCCAATGCCTTTTCTAGAGCACGCCGTACCACAAATTGGTCTTGTAACCGTTTCTCAAGTTGTAGAATCTGTGTAAAGGCCAAATATCTTATCAAGCCATGGGGTTGAGGCAGAAACATGACAGAGTTACTATAGGTATTAAATAACAAATACCAACTTTCATCAAGAATTAGACATAACAAGAGATAGACAGAGAGAGTAATTATTGGAGAGAATAGCACAGGAAAAAGTAGTTCCTAATTTCATCTAAGGTGACTCAAAATTGGGCAACCAAATGAAAAATATCATCATGGGCTTGTTGATTTTCCACACAATTATTGTTCTGATTGTAGAAATTCAGCTTCATACCTCTTGCTTCAAAGAATGTTGGATGCCAGTCTTAGGGGAGTTGTTCATCTTGGTTTCAGCATGGTCCGTCACTTTACCCATATCCTTGTACCATACAAAATCTAATATCAAACACTTGGACAATGCTTACAAGATGGTTCAAAAGGAAATTTATTCAAAATTTTGTCCATTGCCTAGATAATATGTGTCGTGTTTTTTACTCTAAATCCAAAAGGTGGGAGAAAATGTAAAATAAAACACCAAGGTAATATGATGAAAAAAAAAATCCTAGCATTTTAGAATTACCAAACGAAAATGCAAAGAGAAAAATGACCTTACCAACTTTGGACGATGAGTGGTTCCAGGGGAAATATTCCAATTGTCTTCATTGACTCTTTGATCGGTCTCACTGTAATTACAAAGACCCAAAAAACAGAGTCACAACCGCTTTGGCAAGTCAAAATCGCATCTACTTGTTCAGGAATAAATGCATTTGAGTATTATAACTGATCAACCTTTGTTGCCAAAGAGATCCTCCAGTTTTTCGTCCCCACCCCACCCGCCTACTCCCCAACCCCAATGCCTATTTCAGAATGTCTCCATTGCCCCGAGACACAAAACTCTACATACAACATTTCAGCAGCTTTAATTCGTACTTGTCAAGGGAGGTGCGCGTCTGTTGTTTTTAGACAATAGAACTAGAGAATGGCCAAAACACAAATAGGCTTGTTTTGTGCTTTAAGAATAAAAAATCTGCAACTAATCGAAATTTTAATCTCTAATTTTCCATTCGTGGAGAATCCATGTCATGTGTTTTACAGATAACCAATTGTCTTCGACTACCAAAGAGGGAAGAAAGAGTGAGAAAAAAAAAAGTTTCTTTTTTTGTTTTATTTTTAAGAAGAAGAAAAAGAAGAAGAGAAAATGAAGAAAGCTTCTTTAAGAAGAAGAAGAAGAAGAAGAAGAAGAAGAAAAAGAAAAGAAAACAAACAAAGTTGCAGAGATGCGACTAGCTACCTTTTCGAACGCTTGTGTCTTGTTACTTCCATGTACTTCGAAGATCTCAAAGAAGAATCCCGCCACTTAATTTCTTGCATTTTAACTCCAGAACTTGCTTCAAACCCCATTCTTGAAAATGTGCTTCAATAGCTGTAGTTCCAGAAAGATTTCCACCAGAAGAGACACGTTTTCAGAGAAAAAGGAACAAACAAGAAAACATCCAACAAACACTCAGAGTTTATCTTAGAGGCGACTCATTTGGAAGACATAGAAAATAGAACCAGTACCAAAGTAGCAAGCCAAACTACTCAGAGAGAGAGAGAGAGCAAACCCACCCAGATTGATTGTTGACAAGATGAACCAAATACTCAAGTGCAATGGTCAAGTGGGTTTTCACATATGTCTGATTAGGCTCACGAATACCATTTTTACTTGTGTATTGCAGCAACCGACAAAACTACTTCACGACCACGAAGTCATAATTTGACGAGAACAGGCCCTGACGAAGAAGACTCGCTTAAATTCATAAACATTGCTCAAAAAGAGGAAGAACATTGACTAAAAGCCTCTCCCCTTCTTAAGGGTCCGAGTCCATTGGACTTTTTGTAACGGTGAGCTTTTTACTTTTGACGCATTAAAAGAAGGAAATCCGTTCGTGAGCTTTAATTGAAGAAAGTTACACCCTCGCACTTGAATGTCAATGTCGAAAGTAGACAAATTTCTGTAGCACATCAAATCTCAAGGGACAATAGGGAGGATGGAAATAGTGGCTGAGTATAAACTAGTGTGTCTTTTAATAATCCAATCCCCACATTCTCCTCTTCTCTGGTCATGGAAGCAAGTGGGAGTTGGTGACCAATCCCTATCCTACATGCACCTTTCTATTCTATATATTCAGTTCGTATGCAAATTTCCCAGCTGTAGTCTGTAGATAGTATTTAGTAGCCAAGCTCCAGATACTGATGAGAAATGGAGGTAAATTTGTAGAGGGTCGTGACTGGATTTTATTCTGGGATTTGTCAAAATTGAATCCAGAAATCCAGCAAATTGGCGTGTAGAATTGGTGAATTGAACTGTGCTCATATATACATGTTATATACATAGAAGTCTAAAGAGGATGATTCACAATTTAACATTAGTGAGAAGTGGGGTATGTGTAGAAGGTAAAGACTAAAGAGCATTAAGAGGAGAAAAAAGATCCCCCTCAAAAGGGCTGAAAGGGGAGGTATAAAGGAGACATAGGGTGCTTGAAAGAAGGGGCCTTTGTTTCTTTAGGTTTCTTTAATTCCTTTTGGGTTTATGGCGAATGCTGAAGGGAAAGGGGTCTTGAGAAACTTGAGATACCTGAATTGTCCTCCAGTGTCAAAGGATTAACGTTTGTCACAGAATCCCTGCAAATAAAATATGTTTACGAGGCTTGACCTTTTGCAAGATGGATACAAAACAAAATGTGGGTGTGGGATGGTATCCAGGGTCCTTTTTTGTCGTGATAGGGACATGCTCAGAAAAGCTTCTTTTTTACAGCAACGAATGAATGAAGGAGAGAGAAAGTTGCTTTAAATTTAATGACTTTCTTTTTATAATTCGACATGGCAGAAAAAGCCAAAAGCGTATTGTAAGCATATGAGTTTTATGCTATACACTCTAGTATAACATAATAGGGTCTACGAAATGAAGCCGACCTGATCACGCTGGAAATATGGGCCTGATTACACCGTATTAACCCAACTTAGTGGTACCAACGGGTCCAGGCTGGGTTGAGCACCAGGTAGGGGTGCAACTTGGGCGGATCGAGCCCGAATCGATCCCGTTCGAAATTTTGTAAGGGTTGGGCTTGGATTTTTGGTTCTCGGTTGGGTTTGAGCCTAAAAAGTCAAGCTTTAGGCTTAATTCTTATATAGTTTAAACTCGGTCCAAATTCGGTCTAACTGTATATATAATTTTAGAGCAGGTTCATTAACCAATCCAAGTGCATCAAATTATAGTGTGGATTGAGTTCACGTTGAGAAGATTGGACTTGACCTCAAGCTTGAGCCTTAAATCCAAAATTTTGGGTCGGGCTTGGGTTGACCATAAATCCAGCCCAACCCGCCCGACTTGCACCCTTAGCACCAGGAAAACTGCTCCACATACACCCTGTTTGGTTCGTGGAAATAGGGGTCTAGAATTGGAATCAGAGTCCCACTCCCATTGCACCAGGAATAGCATTTCCCTATTTAAGAGAATAGTCATTCCCTCCCCTTCCTTTGGGAATAAAATCTCATTTCTATTGATTCCAATTTTTATTCCCATTTCTATCCAAACCAAACAAAGTATGAAATTAGACCATTCCGATTGGGAACCGAGGGGACAAACTGGAGACTGACTACAAGGGCTGACAAAGGTGCAATACTAATAAGGGTGATATTAAACAGGGTCATGTAAAAGAATGTATACAAGGCAACCATTTCATATTTACAACCAATAAATACACCTTATAATTCTTTTTTTTTCATTTTCCGAAGCATAAAAATATTTGGAAATTACCATTGCTTTCATTGTTAATCACTTAATTGTTCCTCATAAAAGAGAATTTATTATAAAAACCAAGGATAGAGTAGTGGATTGTAGAATGCGTTTATTGGTCCTAGAAGATTGTATGAGAACTCAATGATACAAGTATACAACCTTACTAATTTTACTTTTTACCCTCATACTCGGATCAAATCAGGGTGGTGGTGGACATGAGACTGGATGAGCTTAATCTGGTTCAGGACCAAACCCAAATGAAGATATTTGAACCTTGATAGTGACCCCTTTTTTCTCTTATTTTAGGAGAAAGAATATCCTTGATGGGCCAATCCTGATCGAATTGGGGCACTCTCTATTGGGAACTCAATGCACAGCTAAGAGCGTTGAGGTTACTGTGAGATGCGCTATATGAATGGGTGAATGGGTGAATGGGTTTAAAGATGGCTTCAAATGACTGATTTTGCCATGTGATACGTTGCAAGCATCACTATACCGAAGGCGAAATTGTGGCATTGGTCATAGAACTGAACCTCGTTCTAGTTGGGATTCGACGTTCAAAACTACAAATCAAAAGTAGCTATCTGCCCATTGGGACCAAGCAATAATATTGCTCAATTAAATTATATGTTTGTAAAACTGGTCAATGAATTCGGTTTTAATTAGATAAAGAAATTCAAACGTGGTACCTTGTTGAATATATATAAGAGTTGGTGTGTGTGTGTTAGTGTTAGCTCAACGACCAGACGGTCCGGTGGGAAGTGGAAATTAACTTTCTTCTGATCTTCCCCTGGCAGTGGCAGGTAATTACTTAAAGTAAAATTCTATTATAATTAGATAAAGAAACTCAAGTGGTCTTTATAAGGTAGGCAGGGAGGGCAGGGTGTGTAGTTTTCAATGTTGAAACAAACAAAATGATTTTTTTCCCCATTTTCGAGCCACTAGAGCACCACCAATTTTAATTTTCAAGTGAAACCCAATAACTGACAGACATGCTTGCGGTTCCATGAAACAATCAAGTTATTAAATTAAAGAGTAAATTCTTTAAAAACTAATGAACAAAGAAAAACCTTTGTATTATCTCTGATTTACTGTTTCTGCGTTGTTTATATACATAGAATTTTAGCACTAAGGTTGTACAGTAATATGCACGACCTATGACCAGGACCAGGACTTGTTTAGTTTAAACTTTAAAGCAATTGGATTAGATGTATGGAGATTCTGTCATAGTATCAGTTGCCCGCCTAAGAGAAGGGCTGAAGCAGCAACTAACCTATATAAGAAAAGCTCGGCTTTTGGGTTGATCACCTGTAGAAGGATGATCATTAATTCTCTCCATGACAGAACTACCGACTACATGTAATCAACTGATCGAGCTCGAGCAGCATCGATTCTTATGGCTTTAATCAGCTTAAGCTGATTCGACCATGGGTGGGTTAGTAGTGTTTAAGCTGATTGTAATCTGACGTTGAAAAAAAAAAATCATTTATGACAGGGAACCGGCTGGGGGTGGAGAGAGAACCTTCAGATTTCGCAATTCGGGAGCTCATCAATAAATCTCAGTAAATAAAAAATAAATAAATATATAGAAGTCAGAACAGAAATAGAAAAAAAAAGAAACACAAATTTTCTTCCGAAGCAGCAGCGCGAATCAGGATTGATATCTCGATATCCCAGAACGCTGACGCACTATTACCAATCACTCAGAACTGAGATTTGAGGGGAAGTGGCCGGCCTCGAGTCGAGATTCATTAAAAAAAAGGAAACGCAGCGAGAACGTCGTCCATTAGCATGGAAGAAAGAGAGGGTGATGGACTTTGTCTTGAGCTTGAGAGTCCATACTCCATAGGGATAGGGAATGAGAGTGGAGGGTTGAGTTTTTAGCGAAGGGTAGGCGTAGAATCCCACACACGATAGATTAACAACAACAAAAAAAAAAACGAAAAAAGCCAACTTTCCAATCCAAAGACATTTGGACAAGCAAATCAGTGCCAATGATATATGTGTAAAACTAAAGGGTATTTCGCCATTTCCTCCTTTTGGCGTCCTCTCCTCTCTCTCACTCCTCTTAAGTTTTAACGAATCAGCTCATTAGCCTCAGTTTGGAAGGAGTATAAATAAAAATATGTACACTATAAATACATACAAGTAACACAAAATATGGCATTTACGTCAATGAAATCTGTAGAGGAGGAGCTTATATAGTCGGTATACAGAACGAAGTATAGAAATAAACTTGGATTCCCGGTTCTACTTTTTTTATATTATTTTTTTTTTCGGCACCAACCTACCTGCTTCGGCGCTTCGCCCAGACCAATCCTGATTAGTTTTGGTGGGCCAAACTGATAATTTTGGATTCGGTTCGGGTTGGGTCATGTCCAATCAATTTCCCATGGTAACCGGCCAACTATCTTTGGGTTACAAGTTCCAAAATGTAACAAAATCCGGGCGGTGTGCCCCGACCCGACCTTTGGGTTACAAGTTCCATCTGAATGTCATTTAACTAGTTAACTCTTAACTATAGGTTAATTTCAATGTTTTGAATGAATGAAAACCTTATTTCGTGTTTGTATAGCGTGAAAGTTGGAACCAATGTAAACTTCACAGTGAATCCACCGCAAAAACTTGGTGCCTTGTGGAATCAGTTACTTTTAACTTTCGACTCTTTTCAAGTTGATCGGGCAAAGATTTATCTTGGAAGATGAGAAGACTAAAGTAAAGTGGAGATGGAGCGAGACTAGTAGTAGGATAAATAAAGGGAAGGGGTAAAGGATACGTGGAATACGGCCCACACGTAACTACATGAAGATGGGGTGGGTAAGATGTGCATTCCTTCACGTTAAAAGGTGTTAAGCAGATCTGGCAAAAAGTTATTCAACCCGCGAATCTGGTTAGGGTTTTATATTTATCTATCTGGGTTGGGTCATGGGTCAACCAGCTGACTAGATTGTCAAATTTAGTTAGGATTAGTTAGGATTATTTATGCATTGTTAGAAATTTTCACTCTTTGTTTTTTTTTTATTTAGTCTTTACTCTTTATAATTTACTTTTTAAATTATTAAATGTTTAAGTTTTTTATTTTATATTTGAAATTTTAAGGCTAATTCTTTTAATTTTGATATTTTTCATGTAGTTTTTTCTTTATTTTTTTAAATTTCAGTTATTTTTTGGGATGACCCAAATTGACCCACGGGGCAACCCTAACCCAAACATTTATGGTTAGGGTCTAGC